AACTACCTTACTCTAACGGCACGGGTAAGGAAAAGTTACCACACGGGTTGTTTCAAGTCATACACTGCTATGCTCCCCGATCCTGAATTTGCATACTTACTTGTTGCTGGACTGTTTCGTTGATAAATAACGCATGGAAAATGGGTGGTGTCTCTCTAATGCGATCAATGTTACTAGTGGACACCGGACTGAAAAAGCACTTGTGACATACAGCTATTTGTTCTTATACAGGAAATGACGTGTTAGTTCATAGAGTGTGTGCAGAACAGAAGTGTGTGTGTGTGTGTGTGTGTGTGTGTGTGTGTGTGTGTGTGTGTGTGTGTGTGTGTGTCTGTCTGTCTGTCTGTCTGTCTGTCTGTCTGTGCGTGCGTGCGTGCGTGCGTGCGCGCGTGCTTTATTGCAGTGTGAACGTCTGCAAGCAAACTGCACATTAGCATGGTTCATTGCTATGTGTGTTCGTCTTGCAGCCCTTTATATAACAAGGTTACCACGCAAGAGTCATTGGCACTTGCTCGCACTTCAAACGCAACTGTCATGAAACACGAGAAACAACGCAAAACTTGGGGACCATAACTACGTGACGAAAATTGGCCGGGCGAACAATAGTTGTTAATGTGAATAAGTAACATTGGGTTATTCCTGACTCTCTCAATAGATTAACCGCCAACTAATTAACCCACTTCCTATTTACTAGTGAATTCGGTGGGATTGCTAGGGGAGAGAGAGAGAGAGAGAGATAAATAGAGAGGAAAGGCAGGGAGGTTAACCAAGCTTGGCTCGGTTGGCTACCCTACACTTGGGGTGGAGGAAAAGGGGAATAATAGAACGAAAAGAGACAGAAAAGAAGAGGAGTAAGAAAGAGAAGCATAAATAGTCAGCTCGAAACTACACAGCACGGCCTCGCACAGTTCTTTCACAAGCGGTCGTGAAGTTTGGTGTTCCTTAAAAAGTACAAGAGGGCTTTCGTGGCTTTGCGCGTATGGGAAGCCGTCGGCCAAGGTCCCAGGATCTTCTCTTCTGTAAGCGGCCGTGAATCCAGCTGACAGAGCTTGGCTTCCATAATACGTCGTTCGGTCTGGTATGCTGGGCAATGACATAGAATGTGCTCAAGCGTTTCCTCGCAGGCGCAGATGTTGCATGCCGAAGTGCTCGCCATTCCAAGGAGACGAGAGTACGAATTCGTAAATGCCACGCCCAACCTCATGCGACACAGTAAAGTTTCAGCGCATCGTGGGAACCCGGATGGCAAACGAAGTTGCAAGTTTGGGTCGATCGAATACAGGTGCGTGTTGGAGAAACCCTGCGTATTCCATTGTAGGAGAGATATACGGCGAGCAAGTGATTGTAGTAGCCTTGCAGCGTCCGTTCTCAAGAGTGGTATGGGCGTGCGCTGGTCTTGGTCATGAGCCGATCGAGCAGCTTCATCTGCGCGGTCATTGCCAACGATTCCGCAATGACTCGGCAACCACTGAAATACAATATCGTGACCTTCCGCAAGCGCTTCATGGTAGTCGTGCCTTATCTGATATACTGATTGTTCATGTAGCCCGTGCTGCAGAACAAACCGTAGTGACTGTAAGGCTGACCTGGAGTCGCAAAAGATGGCCCATTGGTTAGGTTCCTGGTGAAGAATGTACTTTACTGCACCTTGAAGTGCTGCGAGCTCTGCTGCTGTCGACGTCGTGGTGTGAGAAAACTTGTACTGAAGCAACACATTTTCAGATGGAACAACCACTGCTCCTGTGGAGCTGTTGGAATTAGTGGAGCCATCGGTGTAAACATGTATGCGGTCGAAGTACCTTTCGTCCAACAGACGCAAAGTCAGTTGCTTCAGGGCTAGCGTTGACATGCGTGCCTTCTTAAAGATTCCAGGAACTGATAAGCGCACGTCAGGTTGACGAAGACTCCATGGCGCAGTTGCTGGATGCATGGCAAGTTTGAAGCCAGGCGGTAGTATGTCCTGATGTTTTGTCACGATACCGCAGTACGAAGAATGGGGCCTCCGAGCTGTCAAACACGCTAAATGATGTGACGGTAGCCGTGATAAATGCCGAATGTGCGCTCTCAGCGTCTCGACAATGATGTGCGTTGTGACCGGTTGTTCTTGTGCAATAACAATAGTTGACACTGTCGATGAGCATCTTGGAAGGCCAAGGCATGTCCGAAGTGCTTGGGCTTGTACGCTTTGCAGTGCACGGATGTTAGTCTTGCACGTGTTGGACAGGACCGGAAGGCTGTACCGGAGAGTTCCGAAAAAGAGGGCTGTATAAAGCTGCAACATGGAGTGCACGGATGGGCCCCATGATTTTCCGGCGACGAACTTGAATACATTCTCAATGCCAATGAGCTTTTTCTTCAGGTATGTGACATGCGGGCTCCAGGTTAGGTCACGATCTACGATGACGCCTAAGAATGCTAGGGGAAATTGGTCGAAAACTTACCGTCTAACCAAGTTAAAGGACTTATACATCGCTCTCAAGTGAGCGTTCTCTACGTCACCTTCGTTGGGTCACTGAGTAAATAAAAGCATTAATTGGGGCGTGCCCCGCTATCAAAAAAAGACAAAGAAACGTTGCGGTGCAACAATCTATTATGACGAATATTAAACTATGGCGTGACGGAAAATAATACCGTAGCTGGGAACCTAAGACCTCAGGTATTACGATGCCTTAGATTAATATAACCTTAGATGCCTCAGCAAACGGTAAATTTAACCGTTGGCAGCGATCTTCGCACGGCGTCGGGGACGAAGGATGCAAGAAAATTCACCACGCGATGAAGTCACCATGTCACGCCACAGATCGCAAAATTTTTAGACCTCATCATGACGTCACAAATTTTGGCGCGGCGTCATGTTGACGTAGCGCCACATGATGCCGTTGTAGCGCCCTCTCTTTTGGAAGGTGAACAAAACGTGAGAGTGCGTGACCTGAAGAGAAGAAAACAAAGACGGCGCATGGCAGTGGTACATAGCATGGCGCATGACAGTGGTACATGGCAGTGGCACGCATGGCAGTGGTACGGGTTTTCATTCCCTGCTCCTTCATACATTCACTGAGAGAAAAAAGAAGTCTGCCTTTTCTATATGTCTTAGTTCAAAGCACAAGGACCCCTGTGGGCTTTATTACTTTCATAAAACGTGAACATTTTCTTCCGTGATTCTTATCGTATATCGCATTTACGCCGTAACGTCTGAGCGACTTTTGGAAATAGAACCCTGAGTTCTAGTTTGGAGCAGAAAAATTTCATCATTTCTATATTCTAATGAGATGGAGCTGACACTTCACCCTGTAAACTTTCGCATTTTCTCGGGACAGATTAAGAATTCTTAGCAGAAGACCCACTTTACAAAACACGCTAATATTATGCATACCTAAGCCTAAAATAAAAAACTCATTTTGGTAACAAAAAAGCTCTATCTGGTTTTGTGTTTTTTACCAAACGTATTTTCCCCTTTACTGTTTTTTAAACCTCACCCAGCTTTGTGAGGCTTGAGAACATAATATTTTTCCCAGTCATCGTTTCTTTCCGCACGGTCTCAGGATGATTACCTCGGAGAGAGGTCAAGCCTAACTAACTTAGCATACACTATACTCCGTTGGATACATCAGATGCAATGCTGCGGAAGCAAGACTCCTTCCACGAGATGCGCTCGCACCAAGACATAGCTCAAAAATTTTACTACCCCCGATGTGTTTATTTTTTTTTGTTTTTGACTGAGTAATAAATGCAGACTATTTGTGCTTGGGAAATGAACAAACCCCTTTGTTTATACGGTTGTGAATAGGTTGTGCATGATAGCTGAGCGTCTCCGTGTTTTCGTGTTGTGGCCTCCGCGATAAGCTCCGGCAGCACCCCGCTGGAGCCCATCGCGGAGGTCTCGTTTACATGTATATTTCCGCGCGAGACGCGCGGAGTTATACATTTCGCTCACTGTACTACTTGCATAGCTTCCACAGTATTGCACCTGATGTGTGAAACAGAGTATGGGCCATGAAAGTTGCTATCATCGCAAACGGCGACTGCGCCGTACGAACGCCTTAGGAAACAATTATTTGGATCTGCGCGTCTGTTCGCACCACCGTCAGTTCATTATTTTTTATCTATGATATTTTAATTGTTCTGCTTGTGGGTTACCGACCAAGCACCGTCATTTGTTCGCATTTCCTCTGTTTTCCATTTTTGTGTATCTCTTTCCATGTCACAGTCTCATTATCGCTAGAAATGTACGCAATAAATAACTCATATAACCATAACTCATCATAAATTGTATGGTACCAGCTTACTAGCATTGCGTTCCGCTGTACGATTGTACGATTGTAATCGTACGATGTACGATTGTAATCTACTTAATTGTGGGTTCTTTTTTTGCCAGTGAGAGTTCCTATCTGCCCAACACATTGCTGTAGGCCCGTGTGCTCAGTTTTGAGTGCACATAGAAGAACCCCCAGGTGGTTGAAATTTCCGGAGCCCTCCACTACGGCGTCTCTTATTCGTATGGTGGTTTTCGGATATTAAACCCCACATATTAAGAGCACATTGCATAAGTGGTTCATGTACTACCTATCATTAGTTCAACATTAGCTTTATGTACCATCCTGCAAAAGTCACCGAATGGTGATCGCAGAAGGTGTGTATGAAAGAAAAAATTAAGAATTCTTCACTCCCTCACTCACGCACGCACTCACCACACATTCCTCGAACGAAACAAGCCCCGCAAACACGAGCAACACCGTTGTGGCTCTTGGGAGTACGCGCGCTCTTTTGCTTTCGTTCTCTGACGGGGGCCAGATCTGAAGATAGAGGGAGAGAAGGAAAGTAGAGGAGGGCACCGCCGGCCTGCCATGTGACCCGCGAGGAGACGCGCCGCCGCCGTCTGGGCCCGCAAAGCGAGCCGCCACGCCAGTTCGCGAGGGCGCGCGCCTGCTTGCGGCCGAGGGAGTCGTCGTCTTCGTCGACTTCGGCCATACCGCCGTTGCTCCCGCGCCTCCGCGCAGACCTCGCTCAGCTGCTCGCCGTCACGGACCGCCCTCCTCTTTCTTCTTCGAGTGGCGGGTGCCGACTTCTCGGCGGACTCTTCAACTCTCGTCCGTCGGAGCGTGCACACCCTCTGCCAGCCGCTCCGAAGTCGTCGCGCACAGCCTACTCCGAGCACGTGGACGCCTGTCCCCGGCCCGGCGCGTTTTCGACGGTCAGCGACGGATAATGTTGTCGTCAGGACTCATCGCCGGACGTAGTCGCCGTCTTTGACTCGGTGTGTGTTTTGCCTCGGAGCTTCTTCGACACCGTCTTCATTCGGACAGTGCTTTTTTTTTTCTCGGATTATTGTGAAAACAAAAAGTAAGAAGAAAACTGGACGTCTAGATCGAGAAGAGAACGAGGAGCTTCTTCTGGCCGTTCACTCCCCGGGGTTCTTGCCCCGGTCGTTCTCGCGGGGGAAGCAACTTTTTCGAGAGACCGACGTCAGGCAAGACCGCGTGATGCGTCATCAGTAATGGTGAGTGCGCCAAGAGTTGAACTGTGGAAACTTCTGTGTTATCGTTTGTTTATTTTTTTCGCCAAGGTTGAACAGTTTGGGCTAGAGCAAGGACAGTTAGTGTCTGGCGCTGAGAAATCTCGCAGTTTTTACGTGTTGAAGCAAAAACAAAGAAACAGACAAACTTGGCTCGTTGTTTGTATTGTCATTCTCGATAGCCTTGGTCCGTCCAAACCGGCCTATGCAAGCGACTGCGATCGGAACGCCCTGAATGTGTGTACATGTGACTTTTTCCTAATTTAGTTTTATATCTCTCTATCCTCTTTCCGACCCTTATTTCTCCACCCCTGTACAGGGTAGCAAACCAGTTCCTTTAGGTTAACCTCCCTGTCTCTTCCTTTCATTTATTTCTCTCTCTCTCTCTCTCTTGGTCAGTAGAGCATTTAATGGTTGTATCCTTTGTATTTCGTCGTTACAAGGTGACCAAACCTGTCATTTATCGCTCCTCGATAAAGCTAGCGGATGTCTATCTGTCTGTTTTTTTTTTCTTTTACTTTTTCATGGGTAGGAGATGGATATTATTGTCCACCTAAACTGAAAGTTTCGTTTAATACATTTTACGGACGTGGGAATAGAAACTATGAAACATAAAACTGAGTTAAATTGCCCGAATGGTTTGCAAAATAGTATAATTTACGAGCGCACGTACTGTGTGTGAGTTGATATCTATCAGTGATAAAGGCGTGCCATGAGACTAGATCAGCGTATTTCATGTAGTACATTCTCCGGTTCGCTTTAGTAGTGCGAAAAAGAAATGTTTACGTACAAACGTTTGTGAATTCATGCTTTGATATGCAGGTTCCGTGTGCTGGTATTCTAATATGAACCTGTTACATGTACTTATTGTCTCCGCTGCTGCTTCTGCCCATCTTCTTACTTTCATCCTCTTGCAGGGTAGTAAATCAGCAGATTCCTGTTTACTTTCTCGATTTTTTTTTCCATTTGTATCCCTCCCTTATCACACCGCTAACTAAACGTGTCTTCAGTTTCTTTTTCTTCCTTTTTTCCGCTGCTTACCTCGTGAGTCTGACGTCTCCGCAATGCTTACTGGAAAACTTCCGCTACAGCTTAGAGCTCTTTTTTTTTTTAACGTAGAAGTTTCGCACTGCTCTTGATTCTTTAATGGAACAGATTCTGGATATTCATAACAGAAAATGCTAACTTGAAACGAACCCCGGTGTCTTTGCGCTTTCCTGGCTAAGTTCCATGACAACGAACGATGCTTCGCGTTTAACTCTAAACATAACTTAGCCGGGCTTGCTTCTGAGTATTGGTGTGCCTGGTTCTCTCGAGAAAAGTATCACATGGGTCAAAACTTGCTACCTTTTATTGTTTTTTTTTAATTCCGGCTGTTGTTGGAGAAAACTAAAAGCAAACGAGCCAAAGTAGCGCTTAGGAGCGAATCGTAAATGGCAATAGCAAACTTCAAAAGCGAAACAAAGTTGCTTACTAAGAGGTCATGAGGGAACGGTTTAGATTCCTTCGTGAATTCAGCTCCCATGAGTCAGGAAGATCCCTATTTCTCTTTCATCCACCCTAAAGTTATTGAATAATAATGAATAATTCCGTGAGCATACAACGTGTGGTAATGGAAAGACGTCATTTCGTGTACTGACTGTGCTCTATACAACATTAACACACGTTACAGATAATAACACACGTTACAGACCGCATGTCACAAACTAACATATTGATTGATTTCTGGGATTTAGCGTCTCAAAACCACCATATGATTATGAGAGACACCGTAGTGGAGGGCTCCGGGAATTCCGACCACCTGGGGTTCTTTAACGTATACCTAAATCTGAGCACACGGGCCTACAACATTTCCGCCTTCATCGGAAACGCAGCCGCCGCAGCCGGGATTCGATCCCGCGACCTGTGGAATCAGCAGCCGAGTACCTTAGCCACTAGACCACCGTGGCGGGGCCACAAACTGACATATGTCACATATTAACTATTGTCTGTACAACGCAACTTCTAATCCACGTCATGACAGTCAACACCATACCTTTAGCAGCGTGTGCACATGTCGCTTGAAAATGTTTACGCCGTGTATGAAGTGCCACTCTATCATAAGTTCCTAACACAAGTCACGAACTCTTACTGCATTCATCTGAGCATTTCAGCGACGGATATTTAGGCACATTTGTAACCAGTATGTGTCACCGGCGTAGCATCGTATTAAGTTTTACGCCGGATTTCGGTACAGGTGCAAACGTAGTCTATTCTTATTTGAGAATCCTTCCTTTCCTTAGGGCACAACAAATGGGCTGGTCTTTCACGATCGGTCTTCGTTACAATGTCAAGCCGGCGTGCCGAGTTGTGTTCGATGTTGCAATGTGTTGTCACCTCGTTCACGCGTGATGCACCGTATTTGCATATGTGGGAGTAGGCACATATTGCATATTGTTCGCGCCTACGTTTTTTGCGCAGCCATTGTATAGGGCATCATCAGTCAACCTACAACGCTGAAGATGAAGGTGGTCGTTTTCGTGGCCTATCCGTCTCTTCCTCATCGCGCTAAAACGTTGTTTTCTAAAGTGTACACTTTCAATAGGATGACGCTACAAAATGAATAATTAAAGAAGAACATAAATGATGAATAATAGACGCGAATCATTCTTCTTTGCGACGTATTCATTTTGCACAAAAAAAAAACTATATAGCTGTAACCGCAAGGCTGTTCGTGAGGAGTTTGTTTGTCAGTAGCTAACAAGTATGTATACAGTAGGCTTGCGGTATAGACGGTGATTTGTTGCACGTTTTTTTCTTCTTTTTTTTTGCACAGAGAGTTGTCGTCATGCACTAACACGAAAGCTAAGGGGAGAGTGAGAGGTGGTGCATGTGTGATTGATTGATTGATTTATTGATAGATAGACAGATAGATAGATAGATAGATAGATAGATAGATAGATAGATAGATAGATAGATAGATAGATAGATAGATAGATAGATAGATAGATAGATAGATAGATAGATAGATAGTGAAAATTTGTTTCTGTTGTTTCTTGTTGGTCACAAATAACTCCAATGGTTAGTTCTTCATATGCCTCCGAAACGTATTCGTTATAACTAAAGTACGCACCAATAAAACGGCCCTGTTCCAACTAAAACGACCAAACACAAAAGGAAACGTTCTTCAGATTCACCATTATTCTTCCGGGTGTGAAAGCAGAAAGTAAAAAGAAAAATGGCCTTTTTCTTGTCGGGGTGGCTCGCATAATCAAGCGCTCGAAGTTCTTTTCAATCGATATCTCTCAGTGTTCCTTATTGTCCCCCCACATAGATCTTTATCGCATCTTCACTTTTTCCTCCTCTATAGGTTGACAGGAATTTACGGTCGCTATAAAGGTATAACTTGTTGGGCTCTTTACTGCGAGTGTTCGTAGCAAGCTGTAGGCGAGCGTAACGCGCTGTCAGACTGTGGGCCGCCTTCTCTATACTGCGTGGCTTTCTCTTAAAGGCCATCACTTTCACTTCTCTTAAGGTATAGCGGCACGTTAAATTGTATCCGTTCTCTGGCGCGTAAAAAGGTTCACGTCATCTGACCATATATTGGCGTAATACTGAAGTGTTCGCCCGTACGCTACTTCAATTTGCCGTCGGGGCAAGCATCTCGCCCATGCATACTGCTATAGCACGCAGGTTTCTTGGAAGTTCGTGCGAGAGGTGTAGTGGGGGAGAAAAATCAAGGCAACGTAGGATGATAATTAACCGGAAGAGTAAGGAATGAACGAAACGGAAAGTCCAGGGAGGTTAACCACGCAAATTTCCGGTTGGCTAATCTGCTCACGGAATTGAGAGACGAGAAGCAGCAGTGAAGGTTGATTAGGGATACAGGTCGAGCAGTGTGGAAGAATAGCTTAGGTACAATGCGATACATCCACTAAGTTCCTTAAAAGAAATTGCTAGTCTGAGTTTTCATGTTCTGACCGCTGGCGTGGTGATAGTCCGGCTGCATTGGTATTTATGGGTAGAACGTGAATTCACCGAAACTTCGCAGTGTCCCGTTCAGTGGTGTTACTCATTACTCTCTTGTCTTTCTGATCTCTTAAGCGAAAATGTTTTAGGCCAGGGTCCACTAAGATTTCAATGACATATTTTTGTCACGGAAATGACGTCGAAAAATACGCGCGATCGGAAAACAACAAGCTCCGTCAATGGGACTCGAACCCATGACCCCTGTGTCCGCGACAGCACACGCCAGACAACTATCCACTGCGTCATAGTTACTCCGCGAACAATCGCAGCTCGCCAAAGAGAAGACGTTGTGTTTCCCTCTAGTCGGGCAATGTTATTTATCTCCAACACGCCGCGAGTATAGGCGAGCTTAGCCCAAGTTTGACGTTCAATCAGTCACGCTCTTCCGGTTATCACATCGTTTTCTCTGGTTGCGCTCTCACCCTTAACTACGAGAGCTACAACAAGTATCTATGACCACAAGTGTTCGCTTAATCATTAATGATGGACAATATTCGTAGCGATGGGGCTGGGCTCTATGATTGAGTGGTAACTTTAATGCATTGAGCAGTGCTATAGCTGTCAAACACCAATACACGCTGCGCAAGCTTTTTTTACCTAGGTAAACATCGAACTACCTATTGCTGTCGTCGTCGCTTGGTGTAGCGCAGGCAAAACCACATGTACCAGTGGCTACCTGTACAATAATCGTGAGCGCGCTCGTGCCAAAGAAAAATATCCATCCCCTTGTTCTTCGAGTGCTTTCATGATGATATGAGGCGCGGCAAATACCACTAGGTAAGTACGACGACAGTGGACTGCATGTGAAAATTGAAAGAGGGATCAGGCGAGAAATTGAAAGCGAGAGAAGAACGAAAGGAAACAAATATAGGATGGAAAGATATAATAGAGAGAGAGAGCGCAGACATACTGGAAAAGAGAACTATAGGAGAGAAGAACGAGAAAACCGAAGAGAAAAAAAAGGGCCGCCAAGCTCC